GTATTCGCATATGCATTTCGTGTTACATTTGTATATCATATTATTTTTTTTATTAATCGGTTATTATTTTTATTTTTCTTCACAGATGAATGCTAAATGGCAATACTCAGTGTTCGCTGTCCTTTCCACGATGTATGTTGTACTTGCAGAAGGTGAGATTTGTCTCCGAATATTAGTACTATGGCTTATTCCAGAAACGTTGTGTTCGTAATTTATTGATACATTGACTTTTTTACTTTTCATTCATTCATTCATTCATTCATTCATTCATTCATTCATTCATTCATTCATTCATTCATTCATTCATTCATTCATTCACTCATTCATTCACTCATTCACTCATTCACTCATTATCGCATGAAACCGTTTTCACTGATTAAAACATTGGAAGGGATTTCACCTCACCCGGAATAAAACAGGAAAACATCGTCTAAATGACCATCGATGTATATATATATATACCACCAGAGGTACATTACTTGGGGTTTGCAACGCGCATAATACTGTACGGTAACATCATGTCAAGATCCCATTCAAGCCTCATCTCGTAGATAGCGAGACTGATGCTACGACGACCTTCTTACATGACATATATGGTTTGTAATAAAACATGTCTCATCACTATCATAGTAAAAAAATGTAATCCATCGAAAATGTACATAAAATATAGCTCTCGTCGTGAGCAGCTATTTGATCCACCTGGACATCCCAGTAATGAGCGAGATTGAAACGAGATCTTGGTATCATGTCACGCTACCAGCAAACCCCAAGTAATGTACCTCTGATACTCCTAAAACGTGTTTGTCGTTGCAGAGGAACAGAAGTCAGTGTCGTTCGACTTGGCCTCGGCAATGATGGCTGGTACAGTGGGTGTCATGGTAGCGTTAATTGGCATAGTTATGTATATATGGCAGGTTCACTGCAGAGAATATACGCAAAAATACCCGGAAGAATCGCCAGAATGGATTGCAGGAAAGTCAGCGGTGGAATCAGTCATGGGAATAAACATGACGCCAGATTACGCAATCATGGAACTTGAATAAACTAACGATCAATTTGGACATCCAAACGATATTTTGGGAACGTCATACATGTTACAAAAACCAGTGAGGTCAACAAAATGCTTGTTTCTAAAATTATGCGGTGACGTTTTTTTTATCTTCAATCATAGGGTTCATAGTTCAACGTATAATATTCATATTAAGTAATGCTTCCCAATAGAGTTTATTTTGGATCGACAAAACATTCTCTAAAACTGTAAAGAAATACTAGTATTTTTCAATTGTACCGTATGTGGCGCACTTCACCAGTACGCAAAATTTCAAACTCGGATGACGAGAAGCAAAACTTAATTTTTGACCTGACGGGAGATTAATCATCGTATAACTGCCATGACTGATTTGGTTTCCAATATTCTTCCTTGATTTGTAACTTTCTGTAATATATAGTGAGCAACATTGCAATTTTGATATAAACAACACTATTGTGATAACCTTGGCACTTTGAATTAAATAACGATCTAAGCATTCACGCGTATGTGTTTCTATTACTGGTCCGTACTATTAAAACAAAGCGCATGCTCGTTTGCGTCACGGTAGTGCATTATCTCGTATTTAATCGGAGATGCTGATTTGTTCGAGTTACGAACATCGAGTTACAAAATGATCATTTTTGTGAAACCACACCCACACTGTAACTCGACGTTAACAGAACTTTGATTTACGGGCAACATAGAATTTTTGTTTTGTTTAACGTTGTATATTTCCCGTAATTCGATGTTCTGTTAACTGATAAATAAACTTCGAGTTTTTAAATTTGAACGTTCAATAAAAACGAGAATATCGGTTGCCCGTAACTCGAAGTTCTGTTAGCTGGTAATTTAACATCGATTTACATTTTGGGCGTGATTTCGCAAAAATCGACGTGGTAACTCGATGTTCGTAACTCGATATCCGCAACTTGAACAATTCAGCATCTCATTTAATCGGGACACATTATTTTTCTCGTTATGGAATATTGTATTACAAATGTACTTTGCGATTCGAGACAACACAGTCGTATTGCAGTGCGCGCTCAAACTTCATGTATAAGTAATGTATTTTACACGTGCTATACCTCGCATATGAACATATCGAGCACAATCAGGCGCAGTGACTGTGGCGATAACAGGTTGAATATTTTTTCGAAAAAAAATCAAGATAACGTGTATGCCCAATATGTAGCTAAAAATGAAAGCCCTTTTTTGAAATACTACGTGACAGTCGAAGTTTATTAATACACAGTAAGGCCATGCCCTCTATCTATCTAAAGGGACTGTGGCCCATGTTTAATGGGTTTAGAACCCAAAATAATGAGGGTATTGCATCTAGTAATTTGAGAGAGAGAGAGCCTGGTCGCTTAGAGTGTTGTATTCTATAAAGCCCATTACATTATTAAACAGTCATGATCTCGCGAGTCAAATTCGTTTTAGATAACGATAATTCGGCAACTTCTTTTCAGTGTCTAAAATTACGCAACCAAGCAGAAGGGAAGCACTGTGCGTGATTAAATTAGTCATGTGACATTCCGAGCCATTGTATACCTTCCCATTCTTATGCAAAGTACCCTTCACTGTGCCCGTTGTACGTTTCAACGCTACCGTCACACCCAAGACTCTCTTGGTCGTTACTGCCTCTCGTTTATTTTGACTGGCTCATTACAGCTCCCTGCCTCTATCAACGTGAAAGTTATACAGCTGTTTCCTTACTGGGTCTACCTATCAACGTAAGTATGTCGAGAACCAGTTGTTTAATTTGTCAAAGTGAATACTTTATGCCGGACCGATGTGTATATAACAATAGTAAACCCATGGACCTTTCTAGCTCCATGGAGCTACAAACCACTTATAGTTCAATGGTACGAGGTAAACCCCTGGAAGGTAGTGTCCTTCTACCTTCCATGGTGGACCCAGCACAAAGCTGGGGCCTTGGCTTTGGTTCATAAACAATCATGTGTTTTTCACTCAATCACTTCGTAATTAGAACTCGCGTCCCCACAGTTAACTCGGAATCGTGGAACAGTATTCAAGTCGGTTGGTGTTTGACTGAGACTTTAGGTTGTTACCTCCATGTCTGGAATTAAGTGCACGGCTACCATTAATCACAGGTGGTTTGGCAGCTGGTATTTCGAAAGAATCCTCATTATAGTCGTTAACAACAGACCACATTAGATTTGAAAGTATAAACTCATTACTTTTCAACCATGGAAGGTTGTTCATATTGTTCTCCCGTGTTTCACACGATTGCTTTGATTTATTTAAACATTTCCGTAATGTGATTACGTGAACTTAGCATTCAGTTCAGGTCGGAGATAAATTGATATAGGAATCCCACAACATGACCAAATAATAAAAAAAAAACTTGTAAAATACTCAGTGTTCATATTTTAGACTTCAAAGTTCCATGTTTCAGCACCCGACAGCTAGTGATTTATTTTTGACCATTTTCTCGTTTCAGTGTCATCATTTCAATGGCGGGCTTTTAAAATGTCAAACTTTCTCGTAACTTTGTAACGCTTTCACATACCAAACATTAGGGAAGGGGAATTTAGCGCAGGACGTTGTCAGAGTGGACGTTATTGAAATTCGGTTCTGCTATGAGGTGAATCACAGTGACTGTGGGTGGATGCATGGCGTTGTTGAGAGGGCAGCCGGCAACCGAATGTGAATAACTTCTGCTCTGACAACGCAGAAGACCCAGGACCGGGGCATTAATAAATATATATGGAACAGTGAACGTTTGTTGAAGAAAAATGAGAATCAAATTTATATCCAACAAAATTTGACTACATTCATTTTTTTTTTATTTATCCCTTTTTTATTTGGTGCACACTTTGGCGGCGTTTTAAAACGATGAAATTATTGAAGTCCTTAAACATTCTGTGTCCGATAGTATCGGTGATAATCTGTGTCATTTATGTTTCGTTCCCACAGATGGCGTGTAACTGGCAATACGTAGTAATTGTTATACTTGGCTCAGTGTATGCAGTGGCTGCAGGTAAGTCGGTCACCTGGCCCTTGAATTCTACGCTGAATAGAATAGAATATGCAATGTAATTATTAGATGGATCACCGTATTCCCAGCGTACTCATAGTTTGTTTTGAATATTGGTGGGAGGGGAGGGGGGTAATTCCATTTTACGATGCGTCATTTGTTTCTGTTTCAACATATTGACACAATGAAAGTCAGTCATGGCAAGATTTTAGTTCAGGGGCACAGGAACTGGTTACTATCTGCTGACCCAAATAGCGAGCACGTAGTAACGAACCCCCGTGGTATTTAGTACACAACGCGACTGAATGAGAACTGCCAATCGTGATAGCCATTGAGAAAACATTGCATTGTGTTATGGGAAAAAAACTATTTGTCAACACAAATCTTGTACTTTCGTGGCTCGACAGCTACCGCTCTTTAAAATGCCCTTTCTGTTTTTTTTCATTCTCAGCCCTCATGTGATTTTAAACGAGTCTATCAGTAACACACTCTAGATACATATTATGGGCGACTTTTCAAAATAATGGCGTCAGTGCAGCCATGCGCGTCCATTCAATTCAGTGAAAACAAGAGTTTTCTCACCGGTGTAAGTTGATAGATTTGCGGGTATTCGACTTAATAATAATGGATGAAAAGTTTAAAACATATTTTTGTTTCGAAAATATTACATCAATAATGATTTGGACAAACGTCATCAACTTTTATATTTGTTTTTCCGGTACAAGTTATTTTTATAAGGAAAACTGTCTAAACTGTTTGTAGTAATCCATATTACTAGTATTCTAAAAATATAAATAGTTTGATAAATATCTTCTGATAATTATCCATCTTGTATGAATTTTTTGCCAATTATAACCAAACCAAATTATGATATGGCGAAAACTTTTTATCATAGAAATATAATGCTAAATAGCTAAAATAACTGTTCAGTTTCTGCAAAAGCAGTGTGGCAAAAGTATTTTTTTATTTGGGTTTTATGAAAATAGCGTCAAATAAAACCATATTGCAAAGATTCAAGGAAATATGATCATTTGTTTCAATGATGTCCGTAATAAAGTCAGTACCTGTTCGATGAAATTACGTTACTATACAAGTACATGCCAACGTAACAGTAATTCACAGCGCATGCGCGTTTTTATAGCTCGGATGCAGGTAACCAGTAAAACATGTGAACATTTTACATTTGTAAAAGCATTGAAATTTCTTGATATATTGCAGGAAACATTCAATAAAAGAACAAGTACAAATTAGAGGCACCGGAACACGCTTTCACGAAAGCGTTTTCCCCGTGTTTTCCCAGTAGCGTTAAAGCGGGGGAGTCGACACCTGCCACGCGTCAGATGGCCCTAGCGTGTCAATGTTTACAAACAAGCGTCTACCCCCGAGTCTTTGCGTTTTAGTGTGTTTTGTTATCGTGGTTATCATTCTGGATTGCAAAATACATAGTGCAAAAACAAAGTTGTTGTTGTTGTTTATTGGGGGAAGTTGGGTAACACATCGATCTCCAAAGAACAAGTTTCCGAAAAATGCTGTTTCAAAAGTGTGTTAAATGCAATATCGTAATGTTTGGGTGAGTTTATTTAGTAACAGCAGAGGTACATTACTTGGGGTTTGCAACGCGCATAGTACTGTATGGTGACATCATGTCAAGATCCCGTTCAAGTCTCATCTCGTAGATAGCGAGACTGACGCTACGACCTTCTGACATGAAATAGGTGGTTTGTAATAATCAAGAAAACATGTATTACCACATTCATAGTGAAAAATGTAATACATCGAAAATGTACAGAAAATATAGTTGTCGTAATCGGTCATATTGCGAGTAGCTATTTTGATCCACCTGGACATCCCAGTATCCAAGTTACCTCGGGCATGCGCATTCGCATTTTTCTGAGTTGGAACGCTTATGCGAGAGCGAGATTGAAACGGGATCTTGGTATCATGTCACCGTAGTTGCAAACCCCAAGTAATGTGCCTCTGGTAACAGTTATGATTTTTATTTCTAGAGACGGAAAAGAAATATT